GTCCGCTGAGACGGCGTCGTCAAGCAGATCTTGATGAAGACCCAATTGAGGCTCGGGGGGATGTGGGAGAGCGTGCCGGGGGGGCGAGAAGGACGCCAGAGGAAGAGCCAATAAGGCTGAGCGATATGATGAGCTGCGGCGGGCAGCATCACGAGGAAAGGTCGGAGACGCCAACCACAGCCAAATGGGCACGGACGAGGACGGGACGAGGACCAACATGACCCCCAGAGGGAGGGGAAGCCGATGGCATCCTCAGCCAAAAGAAAACAAGGCTGAGGATGCCTCGAGATCTGCCTTGGGATCTGCGAGCTCAAATGAAGGGGGATTCTCTCCCTTTCGGAGACGCTCCAGCTCGCATTTGCGAGCTCAGAATGATGCGAAGAACGTGTGGGTGGTTTCTGGGCTTCACGGGCACTGACGCGCTTGCCTGAGCCACACTGATGACAGATCTATCGGAAAAGCCTGCTCCTTCGACCCCTCCGGATGCTCCGGATGAGTTTCTCTTCCGCATCAATGAGATGGCGCTGTGCAGGCTCGCCGAGGAGCAGCCAGCCAGCCGTGGAGAGGAGAATCAGCCGAGCGAGGCGACGGAGCGGCCTTCGACCCAACAGCAGCAGCAACAGCAGCCAAAGCGGCGGGAAGAAGAGGCGAGCAGCAGCTTGATTCTGCACGAGGGTGCGATGGAGGTGTACCAGAAGTCGGGCGAGGGCATTGGGTTGGTGTTGGTGTGCGGGTGCTGGCGGATAGAGCTGGACAAGGACTCGCCGGTCCACTGCACCAGTCCCAATGTCTACACCTTCCCCATCACGGTGGACGGCAAGACGCAGCTAGTCGGGCTCATCCTATCTGAGTGAGTGAATATGAGTGGGGGGAGGGTGGCTAACAATGCAAGTACGACTATATTGTGTTCTGTCTGTGTGCAGGCGGACCCCGGTGAAGGATGTGGACCTCCTGCAAGCTCTTCTCCTGTACTTCGTTCACCTGCACACACGACAGGTACACACATACACACACACACACACACACACACAGTCACTCACGTCGGCCTGCCTGCACTGCGTGTGTCGTCTCACTCATTCATTCGTGCAGGGCGACGTCACCCCCCGCGTCATCGCAGAGCAGTCCCAACAGATCCAGAGGCCGCTGCCTTCTCCCGCGGCCGCCGCTGCACCCGAACCTGCCCCCCGCGTCCCGTCTGGCCCTCCCCCGCGGCCCCTGGCGCCAGGTCTGAAGTTCCACGAGCGAATGGATGAGCTCAACCGTTGGATAGAGGTGGAGGCCAAGCCACGAGTGGAGGCACTCGAGAGAGCCATCGACGTTAGACTCCCGCAGCTGGGTGAGCTCACTTGCCACTTGCAGGGAACCAAAACCAGGCGCCCGTTGATGCGTTGATGTGTGTTGCTGCGTTGTTGTCCTTCATGACAGATCCGCATGACCCTGCTGGCAGCTGTGCTGACTGGATCGGCTCGGGTCTGAAGAGCGCCTCTTTGGTGCTGGCTGGGGGGCTGCAGAGGGGTGCATCCATGGCCAGCAGCGGCATGCGCCGCGGAGTCGATCGCATCAAACCCAACCTCCCGCAGGCTCAAGGTACACAGACGGATGGATGGATGGATGGACAGCCGGCAATACAGACGTGCGACAGCGTGTGCATGGCTGTATGTGTGTGTGTGGCAGAGCCGGTGGTCGTGCACGACAATGTGCGGCGGATGGTACAGAGCACTCGACGGGTCACTCAGGGAGCCGCGGACTGGTCCCTCAGAGGTGTGTTGCTGTACCCATGACACCCAAATGACGATGCACACACCCTCCCTCCCTCCCTCCCTGTCTGTCTGCGTGTGTGCCCTGCAGTGTGGCGCAGGTTTGTCAACTGGAGTGGCCAAGCCAGCCGTTACATCTCAGAAGCCGTCAACTCCGATGAGCCCAACAACAGCCAGCCGCAGGAGCCATCCCCAGCTCCCCCAGTGCGCACAGTCAGGTGTGAGGCGTCACCCGACTTGGATGATGCCGCGCTGGCGTCGAGGGCGGACGGGGCCCTGTCTTTGGGTGTGACGATGAGGCGGCGGCAGTATCGGCCGGTGGTGACGCTCTTCTCCTCCGCAATTGAGAGCACTTGCAACATTTTCGACGCACTGTTGATCGCGGGAGACACCGTGCTCAGCGGCGGAGGTAGGTTGCGCATTGATGATCCGCAGACCAGCCAGCGGATGTGTGTGTGTGTGTGTGTGTTGTGCTGCTATCTGCAGCCGAGAATGTGTCCGACCTGATCCGCCATCGCTATGGGGACGATGTGGGTGCCGTCACGCGGGACGGTCTGATGACGGGTGTCGACGCTTACAGGTTCCACCGCATGGTGGGCGCCCTCGTCTCGCCGGCCTCCCTGGCACGCTCGGCCATCCGCGGCACGGCCATCGAGGCCGGCAGGACACTCGAAGAGCCGGAGAACGTCAGGACACTGGCTGAGGCGGCATCGTCACCTGATCTGCTCGAGAAGGCGCGTGTGGCTGAGGGAGAGCAGCTGGGTGATGGCATGACGCCGCTGCGGACGAGCGAGAGCGACCCGACTTTGGGAACGCCGAAGTCGGGGGCGGGGAGGGAGGCGGCGGCTGCGGCTGCGGCTGCGGATGTGGCTGTGATGCGCTCACAGACGGGAGGGATGTAGGATGGATGGATGGGATGAGCTCAGACAGGGAGCGAGGAGTGCCTTTTGTTGCTTGCTGTGATTTGTGAGACGGTCACTGATCGGTTTAGTCAATGAGGGAGCGTTATTTGTCTGAGAAAGAAAGGGAGGGAGGGTAGGAGGGTGCCGTGGACGCCCACATGGAAGCACACATGGAGGTGAACATGGCACCCTGAGTGAGTGACCACCATGGACTTTCTCTTTTTCTCCGATGTGTCTGTGTTTCTGTGGGTGTTAAGTGGGTGTATGGGCGCGATGGGCGCATGAGACACATGAATCCACCACGGCCATGGCCGGCAAGGTGCGTGGTGGCTGGATGGCTGGCTGGGTGGGTGGACCAAGTGCAAACCAATGGATGGCTGATGTTGAGTGGCTTGCCGCATTCATGAGAACGAATTGGACAGACGTAAGTACTCTTTCATCATTGAAGCGATGTCCGCTGCCATACACAAACATGTAGACAGACATCGTCTCCACATATGTCTGTCTATCGGTGCTTGGAGGGCGAGAGAAGGCATCGCGTCGTGTCCGGCATCAATCCATCCATCATGTCGTTGCAAGCGCAGTCCACTGTAGCCGGTTGGTGGTGTTGCTGTTGGTGTTGATGAGATGCAGCCGCGGTGTCAGGCCTTTCTGAGCGTTGCAGGGCTGTCTGTGTCCAAAAGTCACAACTTAGTGAGCGCATCACAGCGCCGGCGAGTCGGCATGGTGCATTGGCGCATTCATGAGTGGACCGGTATGTATGATCTATAGAATGGATCCCTTTTTCAATCGATGCATTCCAATGATTGCCGACAGTGCGTGTGGCTTACTGAGGGAAACATGTATTGACACGCACACACACACATGAATGGTTCACCCACCCGCACGCACATGAGCCACCGAGTCGACAGACAGACAGACAGACAGAGTGTCCTACCGTCGGTCGGTCCGTTTGTCTGTTCGTAAGTACTTATTTACACAGGGACGGCAAGTGTGTTTTGTGGCTATCCTCTCTATCTCGCTGATCGAAGCGAATATATGAATGCCATCCACGATAGACGGACCGACCACACTTTGGTTTGGGCACACGTGCGGAGCGATCCCCTCCCTCCCTCCCTCTGCCATTCACAGCAAACGATCTATCTGTCGGCCTTGGGCACCCACCGCACCTCCCTCCGTCCCCCTCTATGTCTCCTTGTCCCCCTCCCCCGGTCTGACTCACGCGACCTCGACGTCGGACGGCTGGGCGCCGCCGGCCTCCTTGGGGCCGGTCCGCTCGACGCAGCGGCGGGCGCATGCTTGGCCCCTTGGGGCTGGGGCGGCGGGGGGGTCGTGGGCTCGCTGTCGCTCGACGAGTCGGACTGGTCGATGTGCAGGATGTGGTTGCGGGCGGGCGACGAGGGGGCTGTGCACAGCGCCGTGGCGGCTGGTGGGGGCCAGGCTGATGTGCCGTCGTCACTCGCCAACCAGGGGTGCGCCAGCGCCTCGGCAGCTGCAGACAAGACAAAACAAAACGAGACATGCAGCGATTGATGCATTGGTAGTCGTCTTAGTTATTGACTTGACTAAGTCGATCAACACACCGGAGGCCATGCGCTGCTTCTTGTCTGCCGTCAGCAGCTTGCTGATGAGGTCCGCCGCCTCAGCCGACACGCCGTCGCTTGGAAGGAAACGAGGCCCCTACATGACCACACACACCAGAACCGACACAGACGTCAGTTTGATGGATGGATGGCCTCTGTCTGTCTGTCTGTCTGTCTGTCTGTCTGCCGTCGTCCCTCCCTCCCTCACTGACCCTCTTCATGGCCCGCAGGACGGCTGGCTCGATGCTGCCGTCGTCGGGGACGGTGGCGGGGATATCGAACGGAAACCGGCAGGTCAGCAGATAGTACCTGTATGTGTGTGTGTGTGTGTCAGAGGAGAGAGGGAGGACACACAACACACACAATAAGCAAACGACACGCCCATCAGACTATGCCGCTTGGGCCCTGTCTGCGCATGTGTGTGTTTGATTGTGTGTGGGGCGTACTTACAGTGAGACGCCGATCGCCCAGAGGTCGCTGGCGGGGCTGTAGTCAAACCCTTCGAAGCACTCAGGGGCCTGCACACACACACACACACACAGACAGACAGTCAGATGTGCAGGTTTGTTTAGGTGAGGCAGCTTTGCTTTGGTTTGCTTTGGTGTGTGCTGACTGACTGACTGACCAGAAACTGGGGCGTGCCGGCGATCCGTGTGACCTTGGGGCTGTGTGGCGTGATGATGTTGTCGAAGTCGATCAACATAACGCGCTCGCCGGTCCTCATTATGTTTCTCAGCGAAACATCCGCGTGCGTGATCTGCATATATTGATTGCCACACATACGCACATAAAGACAGACCTTCATGGAGACAGACAGGCTTGCAAGGGTGCCTTCCTTCCTCTCAGAGGACTTGTTGACGTACATACGTACGTCGTGGGTGTGCAGCACTTGGAGGCCTCGCAAGGCCCCTTGGGCTATGTGCCTGACCTCTCCCTCGCTCACGCGCCCGAGACCCATGCAGTCGCCCCCGCCCACCCACTCCATGACGATGTACAGGTACTCGTGGTCCCTCAGGACCTCGCTGGTGTAACAGAGGTGGGCGGAGTAGGGCAGACGTATGAGCCGCCGGTACTTGTCCAGGTACTCGGCCTCGGTGAACAGGGAGCTAGGGTACCTGCAGGCAGGCAGGCCAGAAAGAAAAGCCATACATACAATCAGCAGTAAGGATCATCAATCAATACACACGGACGGACGGACGGGGAAGTATATATATATAAAAGTGCTGTGCTGGCTGTTTGGTAAACAAACTTGGGTGCATTCATTCATTCATTTGTCCTTTCACCCAGCCAGATAGATAGCCATTCATTCACTAATTACTCACGTGAAGGCGTCACGGGGGAAGGCCTTGACGGCCCAGAAGAGGCCGGGGATGAACTCGTTATCCACCTTGAACACATAACCGTTCCTGTGAGTCAACAGACAGACAAACCGTCGATGGATGGATGACACACATAGACATACACACACGCACTCTGTCTGTCTGTGTGTGTGTGTGGCTCACTTACGCGCCTTCGCCCGCCTCTCCGGCGTACTGGAAGCCGTTCTCAGCCAACATATGGCCGAAATCGTCGTACGTCTGCAGCATCACACACAGAAGGCATGCATGCAAGAGCCGCCAATCAATCAGCCAGCCGGCTGTCTCTCTGTCTGTCTGTGCCCCCCGCCAAGTGAACGTACCTTGGTCGTTCCGTCGTCAACAAGGTCGGCCTTGCCCTCAGGCTCATCCCCTGTGGCCAACTTGGTCATGCTAACGCCGCTCAGGCCGCACGGCATCGACGGCATCTCAATCACACCAGCAGCTGCAGCACCAAGGCAGCCGCACCCGGCCTACTACACGGACTTGCACGCGCCACACAGCGCCGTTCGAACTTCCGAGGCGAAAGCACTGCCCGCCGACTCGCCGGCCGCCGCTGTGACACTGATGCGCTCACGAAGGAAGTTGTGTGTGACTTTTGGACACAGTTGGGGTCCGCAGACAGCCCTGCAACGCTCACGAAGGCGCTCGTCGTCGCAAAGCCGAAAAGGGGAGAGAAAGGGGTCGACTGGCAGCTCGCAGAAGGAAGGAGAGGAGAAAGAGGGGGAGGAGCGACGCATTTGCAGCTGCAAGAAGGCGGCGGGTGAGATTCACTCGAAGATCTGTCATTTTAACGAAACACATGTGTGCACCCTGCTGTGTTCAGGTGTTTCATCTACGATGGCCAGCTCGTCAGCGGCGGACAAGCCAAACCAGGTAAGACCATGGCACTGGCAGGAAATCGTTGATGTTGAACCTGTGTGCTCTTTCTGTCTGTGTCAGAATTCACTGCGCTGTGCTCTCGTGGTGGACGGAGCGAACTTCATTTTGGGCTGGCACGGCTACCAGAGGCCGAAAACCGACAAGGTCAACATGCCCTACCAAGTGTTCGAGCACCACATCACGCGAATGATCAGCGACTTCCAAGACAAGACCGGGCGCACAATACAGCTGGTGGACGGGCACGTCACGTTCGTCAATGCGGATCCTGTTCGGCGCATGGATCGCCTCGAGGAATTCCTCTCTAGCCGCTACAGAGGCGATGAGCTTGAGACTCAGCTGAAATGGGCGAGGAATGACAAGAACAAGCTCATTCAGCTTCACAACCAAATTGCTGGCAAGAATGCCCGATATCCCTTCCAAGTAAAGCTGGTGGGCCTCAAGCCGAAGAGCCTCAAGCAGTCGGGAGGGGATACGCTGATCGCCGCGTGCCTGACGAAAGCGGCGATGGACAAGGGCGTGAACGGTGTGATACTGTTCAGCGGCGATGGGGACTTCTGCCCCGTCCTGAAGATGATCAAAGAAACAATCTTACCCTTAACCACCACCACCACCACGGAAACTGTCCCTGATCCGAAGGTGTTCTTTGTCGCGTCGTTCGCCGCTTCACTCTCGTAATACATACTAACCCTCAGCACGCATGAGCGCCTGTTCGTGTGGTGTACGATGCTTTCGGTGTGTTTTCTGCAGTGACGAGCTGAGAAAAGAAGCGCTCATCGTGCACGAGATCCACAAGGATGACGTGGCACCTACATCGATGCCGAGGCCTCAGCGAACTTGGCCCAGACACCAGACCCGCGAGATAAAGCAGTTCACGTTGATGGCGAGTTGGGGAGGTGCAGACGCATGTGAGGAAGAGGTCGGGGATGGCGCAGGCCTCCCTCTTAATGAGACGGAAGATGACGATGAAGATGGAGAGGGAGGCGTGGTCACTCTTGATCGAAATATGCCCTGTGACAACATCATTGTTGACCCTGACATGCCCTGCTGTGACGACTTCTATTTGTTTTTTGGCTCAGCTTGGAAGTAGGTAGACGTAGGTGTTGGTCACATCATCCCGAGAAGAGGCAAGGACGAGTCATATCTTTTGCTCAAGTGTAGAATATGTGTGTGTGGTCGAGATGATCTGAGGGCTGTCTTGTATTGAGGAGTGGGTATTTGGGGCTGTGGGGAGGTGGACTGCCATACCCTGTGGGCTGCGAGTGTGATTGGATCACCAATTCGTCATGTTATGTGATAGAGTGCATCCTGAAGAGAGGCTTGTCTTCTGATCGATCAAATGTCTCCGAATGTCTGGAGGGACGATGAGCTTGGAGAGGGAGGGGCTTTGTATTTTGCTTTGTGCTCTTTTGCACTGCGCCGATCCGATATGTGCGGAAGTTGGCAATTGCGTCGTCGATGGGGACAATGTTGATGATGCATGGCACTGTCTCGACTACTTGTTCAATCAATTGCAGTGGTCCATTCCATCCGGGCAGCTCATGCGCCATGCAGCAGACGTCACAACCACCACAGCCAACACGTGGACACAACACTCACTCACTCCTTATGCAGCACCCAGCCCAGTGAAGCCCCATATCCTACGCACATCCACATCCCCGAATACCATCAATCCATCCTACTCCCTCCCCTCCCTCCCCTCTAGTGCGTCAGTTGTATGCCGCCCCGCCCCCCTCAGGCATGTTCTCTATCGGCGGCACCACCCGTGCCCTCTTCCCCCCCTCGCCCCCTAACGCCTCACTCAACATCTGGCCCGTCTCGCCCATCCCCTCTACCTTGCCCTCCTCCTCTGCCACTGCTGGCGGCATCTGCGTCGCATCGAGCTCGTCGGCCATCAGGGGCTGCTGCTGCTGCTGCTGTTGCTGCTGCTGGCCGGCCTCCTCTGCGCCCTGGTCGACCTTGGCTGTCACCTCCACGGCTACGGCGTCCTTGTCTGGGATCTGGCCGTCGTACGGCGGCATCGTCATGGGGATGTCGAAGCACCCGTACGTCAGCAGGCGATACTCATCCGACTACAGGCACGCACCACACACACACACGCATTCATCCAAGGGGAAAAGGATAAAAGAGAGAGGGGGAGAATGCAGGGGACCTACCTTGATGTAGACGGCGCTGGCGATTGCGAATGTGGCTAGGAATGCGGGCCAGTCGAGGTTGGGTTTGGGTCGTGCTGTGCGGCGGCCTGACGGCTCCTGCTTCTGCAGTGCTGCGGCCGTCCAGCTGCCGCGGGACGTCGAGAGGTCGGGCGGCGGGGGAGGCGGGTTGAGGGAGAAGTGCTCACAGATCGACTTGAAATCCTCACGCACCTGCACACACAACACGACCCACACACATGACATGACATGACATGACATGACATGAGGGAGGGAGGGAATGGCGGGCGTGGCGTGACCGCTCACCTTCTCAATGGGCACGTGTGCGAGTACGAAGGCCGGGTGGGCGGCGAAGTTCATCTTGCCCAGCAGATCCTCTAGCGTGATGGCCACATTGGCCCCCTCACCACCACCACCCCCCTCCCCGCCCCCCTGCTGCTCGTTGCTATCAGCCCATCCCTCAGCACTTGGTGCCGGCGACCCGGTGGCCGCCTGCCAGGCCTTCTGCGTCCACTCCATGCGACGGGTGCTCATCCCGCCCTGAATGAGACACGCATGTGGTATGGGTGTGTGGGGGAGGAGGGAGGGGGAGGCTGGTGCATGGTATGTACCTGGAGCATGTCGAAGAAGGGTCCGTAGTGGAAGTGCCCGTCCATGTCAGCGTCGAAGGCCGAGAAGATGATGTCTCGCTCCACCGGCGTCAGGCCCAAACTCATCACGCGACACAGACGATGCCAATCCGACTTGGTCAGCACCTACGGACACACACACACACACACACTTACGGCCCGTGCACCGATCCTTCCTCGCCCCGCACTTGAGCGTACCTGTTTGCCGAATCCGTCGTACTTGTCTACAGCAGCGAGTAGGTTCTTCCACGGCTGCAGCAGCCGCGTCTGCGCCAGTCGGCCCCGCAGCCGACGGCAGATGAGCTCCAGGTTGTTGGAGAACACGTCACCAAACGCGAAGGTCAGGAACGACTTGGTCTGCACCCATCCCATGCAGCACATCCATCCATCCATCCACTTGTTGGCCCGCCCCTTCCCCCAGCTCACAGTGGGCGACTGGCGTGCGTCAGGTGCTCCCTCTAGGACGGGCAGGCGCAGGAATCGGCCGTATGAGCGTGGCGAGGGCGGGACGTCGATGTTGCGCGGCTGTGGGCCGGGGTGGTACGGCGGCTGGGGGTAGTCTTTGGGCAGCGTCTTGCCGGTGGGCGGGGTGGTGTCATAGAGGAAGGGGTGCGGCTTGGCGTAGTACTGGTTGTCATCCTTGAACAGCTGCCGGTCGTAGATGTGCTCCTCGGCTGCACACACAAAGAGAGACCAGCAATGGTCATCCTGCTTATGTGTGTGCGTGTGTGGATGGTTGTTGGTTTGGGTCGTACGCTTGCGTGGCGGGTTTGGCGGCTCGCGTGCTGTGGGTGGTCTGAGTGCATCGTCCTCCTCCTCCTTGGCCGCCTCAGCTAGGTCCAGGTCAGGATCTACCAGCCCCCAACAACGGCTAACCATCGCTGAACCACAGACCACAAGCCACACAACACACAACACACACATGGGTTGGTTGTCGGTTCGTGTGTGTGTTGTGTGTCGTGTGTGTGTGCGGCAAAGGTTACTGTTGAAGTATGCATCATTCTGGTCGTCGACGAGTGCACTGACGACCGAGTAGTACTGGATCCAATCGGCCCCGGTCACCATCACGTCGGCATCGTCCACACCACACACGCGATCGCCGCCGTGCTGACACACAGAGGGAGAGACAGGGGGAGGAGGAGGAGGAATGCATGTGTGTGTATGTGTGTGTGTCGGCGGGCACTCACCACGGCGGCAATGAATTTGGTGATTGATGTCTCGAACTCCTTGGCGATGAGCTCCGCCTCCGCCCGGCCCTGATCGACCAGCGGATGGGCGCCGGCCTGCAACACACAGACACACACACATCCATCCATCCATCCAGCCAGCCACAGACATACAAGAGCTCTCTCCACTAGACGAGAGGCAACCAACGGACCTGGAAGTTGTGTTTGATGACGCTGAGTGGTATCTGTCCGCCGGCCCTGCCCCCCATCTCGTCCCGGTCGAGGGCGTGGAAGGCGCACTCGACCATCACACGGCGAGCCGGCTTGATCGGACCCCACAGAACGGCCAACAGCCTAAGGAAATGACAGACAGACACGTGTCGCATGGACGGATGTGTGTGTATGTGTGTGGATGTGTGTGTGAGGGTCGGTGGTTTACTTGGTGACGGGTACGAGGGCGATGGGTTTGCCAGCGACTGTGTGTGTGTGTTTGGCGATGGACGTGTCGGCGAAGAGGGCGGCCTCCTCGGAGGGGCTCGCGTGGAGACCACACTGGACACACGCACGACGAAACTCTCCCATGTCTGAACCAAACACACAGACACAGATACAGATACAGATACAAGGAAAGGAATGATCGGCCCTCTATGTGTGTGTGTGTGTGTTACCGATGTGGTCGTCATGGTCATCATCGGCCTCTATGAACGCCTGCACCACTTCCACCGCCGCCAACAAACCCCGACTTGCTGGACAACACACAGAGACAGAGGGAGAGAGACACACACGTCGTTCAACTGGTTACGTATGAGTAGCTGTGCCCCCATCTGTTTTGCCTACCTATGTTAGCTCTGATGCGCTGGAACGTCTCGGCCAGGTCGATGGCCGACGTGGGCGCACGGTACTCAACTGACGGACACACACATCGACATGAGAGCAGATGGCTCTGCAAGGATCACGCCCCCCATCGCCCACCCACCCACCGGTCTCATGCATTGTGTCCTGGTGCCAGTGGTGCAGATCGACACGCTGCCGAGCCTGCGTGCCCGCAGCAGGACCTAACCACACACAGTGAGTCGGTGCAATGCATTGGTGTGTTCCGCGGCCAATCCCATTGATTGACCTCACTCACCGGCAGCCGGGTCGACTTTGAGTGCGCTGTCGAAGGCGATGGCCGGCTTGTCGAGGTCCCACACACGCGTCACCAACTCTATCATATCACCGTGCCTGACACACACACACACACACAGATCCATAATGAGACACAGGGTGTGTGTGTGTGGGTGGGTGTGTGGGTGTTACTTGTAGTAGTATCCGGCGATGAATTCGTTGTAGGCGATGAACTCCTCCCATGTCACCGTCTTGTTGACGTTGCGAGCGGCCGAACCGGTGCCACGCTGAACACATACACACAGAGACCATGATATCACGGCAATCGATGGGTGTGCAATCGTCTTACTCGGTAGTTGAGCACGCCCTGCAGCGACTCCACTGCAAACGTCACACACACACACGCATATTGTGTATGTGGGCTTATTGGGTCTCTCCGTATTGTATTGTGTGTATGGCTGTGTACCGAAGTCCTTGAGGGCCCTCTGCTCCACACCCTCCTGGCGATTCGCTGCCACCTGACCCCACACACACAACACACAACACACAACACACAACACACGAAATGGCATCTTTCCCTGCCAGGTATGTGCGTGTCGGTATGGCTATGTCAGGCCACCTGTGGGTGTCTGGCGGCATTGTACAGTCGTATGATGTCGTCCATCGGCACAACCTTCTCGCCCTCAACCATCTCCTGAGGCACACACACACACACACAGACAACACAACCAAGAACACCACTTCTGCGAATCCGTGTGGCTG